ACCCCCTTTCCCAAGTTTTGCTTTTTCATTGTTGTTGTTACTGTTTTGGTACATAAATAATTATAGACTGTCTCTGTTCTGGGAACCAGCCTGAGGTGTAAACTTAAGTTCTTCTCAGTTGTTTTCTGAGCCTGTACTTTTTTCTGGGCATCCCACTTTTTAATTTTCCCTTTATATGCAGCTGCTTTTGAATATCCTAGTCTTTAATGTCTGGCTCCTAAAGAAGGAAAAACAAAAATGTGACCGCTCTACTTTAAATCTTCTGGAAGTCACTTAGCGGCAGGTGGGGCATGCAACAACAATGGTTGCGCTCTTATTTGTCTGCAGCTCTGTGATCATAAGCAACAGGCAGTGATCAGAGCACAGGTTAAAGATTTATTTTTAAAAGAAACAAGGAATTAATTAGACTTCCACCTTCAACAAAATGAAAAGACAACCCACTGAATTGGACAGCATATTTGCCAATATATCTGGTAAGGGGTTAATATCCAAAATTTATAAAAAAACTTATAAAACTCAACACCAAAAAAACACACCAACAATTAAAAAATGGGCAACGGACCTGAATAGATACTTTTCCAAAGAGGACATACAGCTGGCCGATAAACATATGAAAATATGTACAAAGTCACTGTTCATCAGAGATGCAAATTAAAACCACAATGAGATACCACCTCACACCTTTCAGAATGGCTACCATCAACAAATCAACAAATGACTCATGCTGGCGAGGGTGTGGAGAAAGGGGAACCCTTGTGCACTGTTAATGAGAATGCTGACTAGTGCAGCCACTGTGGAAAGCAGTATGGAGTTACCTCAAAAAATTAAAAATGGAACTGTCTTATGACCCAGCAATTCCACTTCTGGGAATTTATCCATAGAAACCCAGAACACTAATTGGAAAGAATACATGCACCCCTGTGTTCATTGCAGCATTATTTATAATAGCCAAGCTTTAGAAGCAGCCCAAGTGCCCATCAGTAGATGAGCAGATAAAACAGCTATGGTACATTTGCACAGTGGACTACTACTCGCCTGTAAAAGGAAGAAAATTTTACCCTTTGCAACAGCATGGATGGACCTGGAGAACATGATGCTAAGTGAAATAACCCAGGTACCATATGATTTTACTCATGTGGAATTTAATGAACAAACTGAATTAAGAAGCATAACAGAGTCAGACTAATAGAGAGCAGGCAGATAGTTCTGGTGGGAGTGGGGGTGGAGTGATTGAGCGGAAAAAAACCCCTCATGGACATAGACAACATTGTGGTGTGGGGGTATAAGGGTATGGGGGGATAAATGGTGATGGAAAAACAAGTTAAATAGAATTCCAGTAAAAATATTGGAGTGATTTAGTACAAAGTTATGAGAAATCATTAATAGTAAGTTAAACATAAATGAAGTATAGCCTGGTAATCTTTTTTTAAACGAAATCTTGAACCAAATCCTTACATATTAAAATAGAAATGTACTTAATTACTTGAGTTTTTTGTTTGTTTGTTTGTTTTTTAAATATATCTTTATTGATTTCAGGGAGAGGAAAGGAGAGGGAGAGAGAGAGACAGAAACATCAATGATGAGAGAGTCATTGATCGAGCCCACAACCTGGGCATGTGCCCCGATCGCCTGGATCCTAGGTGGACGCTCAACCGCTGAGCCACGCCCGGCTGGGCTTGAGTTTATTTTATTAGATCAGATTATTAACATTATTCAGAAGTCTGTGGATAAACGATTGAAATTAGGGTTATGCATTTTAAGGTTTATACATTGAGCCCAGTATTGTTTTGCTTTGTTCTTTTTTTTTTTTAAATCCTCACCTGAGGACATGCTTAGAAAGAGAGAGCGAAACATCCTTGTGAGAGAGAAACATTGATTGGCTGCTTCCCACATGCTCCCCCACTGGGGATCAAACTGCAAACCAGGTGCCCTGACCAGGAATCAAACCAGCAACCCTTTGGTGCTCAGGACAACAGTCAGCCAACTGAGCCACTCCTGCCTGGCTGGGGTGTGTGTTTTTTTGTGGTTGATTTTTTGGTGGTTTAATTTTTTATTAGGATACTGGACTAAACTGATCAAGAAACTTCAAAGAGTTTTGTTGAATATCTCAGGAATGCAAGGTTGGATTTAACATTTGAAAATCATTGTACTGTACTGTATCAGAAAAGGAGAGAAGCTATATGATTAGCTCAGTAGATGCAGAAAAGGATTTTGATCAAATTCAACATTCCTTTGTGATTTATAAAAAACAAGCAAACAAAAACCTCAATAAACTAGGAATAAAAGGGAACTTCTTCAATCTGATAAATTTTTTAATCAACATTTCCAAAGCTATGGGGATTGAGTGGAGGTGGGCAAAGGGGGCAGAGTAGGGAATGGGGATATCTGTAATAGTGTCAACAATAAAAATGAAGTTTTTAAAAAAATCCAAAGAGAAGGAACTCATGGTTGGGGAAAGTCCAAAGCTAGGGTTGTACTTAGTGGTGAAAGTCTCAATATTTCCCACTAAGAAGGAGCAAGACAAGGATGTCTGCTCTCCACTTCTATTCAGCATTGTCTAACCAGGGCTATTAGGCAAGAGAATGAATGGCATCCAGATTTATAAAGGAAGAAATAAAACTATTTACAGGTATCATGATCTTGTGTATAGAAAATCCTAAGGAAACCACAAAAAACTTAGTTTAATACAATTTCAGCAAATACCGTTTCCACATTGAAAGAGAATCTTGTATCTTGAAAGATACAAGATCAGTATACATAATTATTTTTCTATATAATAGCAATGGACTCCATAAAAATGAAAGTGCAAAAACAATTCCATTTATAATAACATCAAAAAGAATAAAATATTTAGGACTAACTTCAATAAAAATGCAAAACTTGCACTCTGAAAACTACAAAAGTTATTGAAAAAACTTAAGACAAATAAATTGGAAGGTATTTCAGTTTCTTGGAAGATTTAATATTGTTGAAATAACAATTTCCAAATCGACCTGCAGATTCAACAGCCCTTATCAAAATCTCAGGCTTTTTTACATAAATTGGCTGATTTTAAAATTCGTATGAAAATTCAAAGATACGAAATAGCCAACAATCTTGAAAAGAAGAACAAATTGGAGCACACACACTTCCCAATTCAAAACTTACTCCCAAGCTATAGTAATTAAGACATTGTGGTGCTGGCACATGGTTAGATCTAAATATAGATCAACAAAATAAAATTGAGAGGCCAGAAATAAACTTCACATTTATAGTCAGTAGATTTTCAACAAGGGTTGAAGACAAGTAGGGGAAATTGGTAGTCATATTTTTATAGAAACCAAGAGTTTTCATTTCCTGAATTCCTTCCCCACCCCAAATTAATGTAATTTGACCAGGGTTTCTTCCTTCAAGATCTTTGAAAACTTTTGTTACATGGAACAGTATCCTCACCTGAGGATATGTTCATTGATTTTTAGAGAGAAGGGAAGGGAGAGAGAAACAGGCATGTGAGAGAACATCGATTGGTCCTCTCCTGTATGCACCCCAACTGGCGATCAAACCCACGACCTTTCGGTGTACAGGATGATGCTCCAACCAACTGAGCCACACCAGCCAATGCCTTTTTATTAACTTGAAAACAGTATCTTTTTATTAACTTGAAAAGCCCCAGTGACAAGTAACCATCACATTGTTTTCAAGTGACTATGTAAATTGATGTATATTTGCTTTCAATCCTCATGGTATTTTTATTATAGTTGACCCTAACAAAGAGTAAGTTGGTAATGACATACACATGTGCTTACTAATGTTCATCAGAACCATATTTTTAATTTCCTATTTTTAATTAGTGACCCATTTCCACATTGAAAGAGAATTATTTACCTCATCAAATCAAATACTGCATTTCTACAAAGCTCAAACCAGAAGCACAATTTAAAATTATCATTAATTGAAAAGTCAGGAAGCATCCCAAATTTACAAAACTATGATAAATAATCATAGCATGGCATCTATTCAGAGTTTGCTTATTATTGCCCAACAAACCATTTCTTTGTGATAAGAGTATATGTCCATGCTTATTTGTGCAATTTTTGCTGAGAATATTTGCACAAGCCAGAAATCAGAAACCAGTGCAGAACTATGGTTTTCCTAATCCGGAATGCATTGACTAAACAAAGGTATTTCACAAAGGGGCATGTTGCCAAGTATGTGTGTGCTGTCCTTCAGGGTCTTTTTCCAACCATTTTTGTGTGGAAAGCTTGGCAAAAGTGTATTGAACGTGTGCTTCATAAGAGTGTATTGTATTGCACAATTACTCATACTGTGCTCTTACAGTAGCATTTCTCAACCTCAGGTTCTTGGGTAACATCTTCAAGGATTCATACCGAATTTTATTTATGCATTTATTGGAAAAAGGGTCTTTAGCTTTCTAAGATTATCAAAGGAATAATTAATAAGACAGAAATTTTGCCTTTGCATAACTGACCCAAACTGTTGTGCTTTAATAGTTTCTATTTTTTTTTTTTTAATGATCAGTTGGTCTTACACATTATAAAGTAGTGTTTGATAAATAGTAGCTATGGAATGAAAGTTAATTTCTCCTTCCAGATTGTTATTCTGTCACCTGTTACTTCTCATAGCTTTCAGTTTACCTTTCTCTAGGGCTGTCTTCCTAAACTTTGTTGCAGTGTTGCTTCAAATTTATTATTACATAAAGCAGATTACATGCAATCTGTAAAATTTACATTGAGAAGCACGGTTCTGAACAAGAATCCCTCTTAAGAACTAATCCCTCCTAAGAACTAATGAGCATAACTGTATATGTTGTATATTCCATTTACTTTGATTTAGGTGTTGATGTTGTTGCAGAAAGTTTTATTTCTGTGTAAGTACAGTTGAGTTTTAGTTAATTTAAGATGTTATTTTCTGTGAAAAACTACTTTAACAAGTTAAAAAAGACTTTGCAAGTACTCTGTCTTGAGGGGAGCTTAGCTTGGTTTTCATTATTACCCTTTTAGGATACAGATGAGTTTATTTTACCAACTGGAGCTAATAAAACCCGGGGCAGATTTGAACTGGCCTTCTTTACCATTGGAGGATGTTGTATGACAGGTGAGTATAATAATTTTTTTTAAATATTCTCAATCTAAGTACTCAAAGATGCTTAAGATCAAAAGCAATTAGAATATTGTTTTACGTTGTTTTAAAAATCATTTACATTTTTCATCATTTTCTATTATATAAAAAATGAAAAAGAATCAGAAGTGTAGTTGTTTTTTAATATAAAGATGTATTATTTGGATGAATTGTTACTATGATTTACTAGGGGCTGCATTTGGGGCAATGAACGGTCTACGGCTAGGATTGAAAGAAACCCAGAACATGGCCTGGTCCAAACCAAGAAACGTACAGTAAGTCTCATATAATCATCTGATGTGGTGATTGAATATTAACCTCTACTCTGTTGGCTTGATGAACAATACCTTGAGATTACAAATGTTGAGAGTATTGATAAGTTTTTGGTCAATTTTTTTTCTTACTCAAAGGAACTAAGGAATTGTGTAACTGACTCGTAAGCTTTTAAAAGGAATGATTTTTTAACCATGTCCCTCAATCAGCTGGTGCTATCCCAGCCTAACTTCTCAGCTGCACCTGTTTCATTCTGCAGGGCTATAAAACCTGCTTTTCAAACTATTGAATCATTAGTACATTATTTGGATTGTTCAAGGGTGTGCAGAACCGTAGGACATGGTAGCAAAGAAATAAAAAGCACATGAGAGTAATTACTAGATCTGCTATTGACTTGAATTTAACTTCACTCTCCGTTTCTTAAATGGAAAGCTGCAGAAATTTTAAGTGAAATCCCTAGAATTTAGAGATAGTTCCAAAAGGAATACGACAGTCTTCTAGGAAAATTGATTTGCGGAGAAGGGAAAGTGCAATTTAAAAGGTAAGAAAGTATATATAGTGTATATCTTCACCCACCTTAGGAAATAAACATTACCAGTCCCTGTTGATATTCCCTTAATATATTGTTTAGTTTTGCATGTTTTTATACTTTATGTGAGTAGAATCACAGTATGCATATATTCTTCAATGGCACATGGTTGTGTTTTAGGACACTTGAAATGCGGTCTTCATTTGTTGTTTAGCTTAGCCAGCAGATGGCAGTAGGTGTCTGCTAGAATTAGACCTTGGGAATCCTGAAGGCATATTCCTGTTACTGTGCGGATCATTGCCCTTGTTTTACTAGCCCAGATTCTTGACTAGTCTTATATTTATATTCTTAATATTTGTCCCTTACTCCAGTAAAGTTTTTACTTTTTATATTGTGGAGAATTTGGAATGTATACAAAAGTAGATAAAATAGTACAGTGAACATCTATGAACCATAACTTATGTTCAACAACTATCAGCCAAAACCAATTGTGTCCTATCTCCTCCCCTTCCATATTATTATGAAACATATCCCCAGTGTTTCATCATTAAATAACAGTTTGGAAGCTCTAGAAAAGATAACCTTTGTTTTTTTAAACAGTAATAATTATTAATTTTTTAGACAATCAGATTAGCTTGCATTTTTAAAAAACCTTATACACCATTTTTTACATAATCATGCTGCTCCTCTTAGATAGGGAGACAGCTTTTTAAAATGGAAAGAAGGTAGGGTTTCGGGCTAGACAGACCTTTGTAGCTTCAAAGGCTTAGTTTTATTACTTACTATTTTGTGATCTTAGGTAAGCTTTCTATACTTTCTGCCTTTAAGGATTGTTGAGAGATGATTAAAGTGAGAAGTAGGTAAAGGCCCAATAAGTGGAGGTATGTTGCCCAGTTGCATCCCAAAGAATTTTACCAGTTTGCAGTACTATCAGCAATATAGTACTGTGAAAATTAATAGTTTTAAAAGCTTGTGACAGCCCTCGCTGGTGTGGCTCAGTTGGTTGAGCGTTGTCCCATGCACAGAAAGGTCACCAGTTCATTTCCTGGTCAGGGCACATACCCAGGTTGCAGGTTTGATCCCTGGTCGGGTGAGTAATGGGGACAACCAATTGATGTTTCTATCTCGCATTGATGTTTCTATCTCTCTCCCCTTCTCCTTTCCTCTCTCTCTAAAAATCAATTAAAAAAAAGAGTGGCTCTTTTTCACAGAATTTAAAAAAAAAACACAAAAACACTTGTGACAAATGTAAAAATAATATGCTAAACTTTAAATATACTAGTAAATAATTAAAACAATATACTTCTCCATAAACAACCTTTTATAAGTAATACAAATTTTTATTATTAAGCATTAATTTAAATGAGTTCTTTCTTTGTTTGTTACTGTAATTCCATAATCTCCAGCAGTAGTCAGCTGTCCGGACAGAACCGTTCCTGTGATGGTGTTACACTGCTGGGAGAGGAATGTCCTGCCTTCTTCCTCCAGTTGCCTCTGTCACTGTTCTGGCGGCATCAGGCACTGGTGCAAGGCAGAACTGTGCTCCCTTGAGAGTGTGCTAAGCGCCCACTTTGGCTGCTTAGTTCTAGTGTGGGAGCAGACACAGTGCTTTCTCCATGTGTCCTGGTTTGCTTTTTCCTTCTCTTCGAGTATGTATTTATTTTTAATTCTGCTTTATATTCTATAATATTCCATGCTTTGATTCTACTTAATATTCTCAATATATATACACTGCCCCCCACCAAAAAAACCACTTAATTGTAAGCTAGTTTGTTCATTATCATAGCCTTTTTAAAATACAGATAAGTTCCTTTAAACTTATAAAATATATTTCAGGCTGTCATCCAAAGCCTTTATGTGTTTGATATATATTTAGTAACTCTATATATTTAATAAGACATTTACTTGTTTCTCAAAAAGGTTGGTGTTTTTAGCCTACCTTCATTTATATTTCTATAAAGTAAAAGCCATTCTTAATTGAATTCTAAAGCGGTGTTAAGTTTTTTAATGAAGAAAACTGGGAATTGGGTTTATACTTTTAAAATAACTGCAATTATGGGTTTTCCCATTACTAGAGAAATAATGATTCTAAGTACAGATTCTTTGTCTTTCTGCCCTTGTAGGATTTTGAACATGGTGACTAGGCAAGGGGCACTTTGGGCTAATACTCTAGGTTCTCTAGGTAAGTAGAGATTTCACTTGATAATTAATTATTAATGCAAAGAAAGAATGTACACATATCATGAACAGTTTGAGCAATTAAAATTTTTAGTATCCTAGGAAATGACTGGGAGCAACATAAAATAATCCCAAGGTGCTAACTTGTATACCATTTCTGAATGTTTTAAATCTTTTAAGACTAAACACTCTCCTATCCAAGCATACCACCAAATAAAATCATGTTTTAACTAAATGAAATCCAAATAATTTAGGTCCAAGGCAAATGGCTTTGTATGTTAGGAAAGGTTCAAGGTGCTGTAATTAGATATGATAGTTTCATCCAGTCCTCCTGCTCTGGTTGCCTAAGGCTGGTCCAACATTCTGTTTAGCTGAGTAGTTTTCCCAGACTTAATTGCCAGAGTTGCAGTAGGGCCTTTAGATAATGAAAACATTTGCAGTTCTAACAAGGGGTAGTTTTATAGTACTTAGGACCCCCTGCATTCCTACTATATTGTTTACGAGTGATTGACTCTTTATTCATGACTTAAAATAAACCTCTTGGTGGCACTTATGCCCTAACATCCAAGGTTTTCTTTATAACTTAGGTAAAAGGCTGAAAATCTTTTAAATGTGACAGATAGAGTAGGAAAAACATAGGTATCTCATGAAGGGTAGAAAAGGCCTTTGACACAGTGAGAACCCAGCCTTCTCATAAAATCTGTAAGTGGTACATCTTCACACTATAAAGTCAGGCTTGTATTTGGGGTCCTAGTAAACAGCTGCTGCCATATTTTGCTCATGTCCTCATTGCCCCCACCCCCATACACAGTCCCCTGCCTTTGCGCTGTTTGATTGATTGTATATGTACTCAGCCATTCTGTTCTAACCAGGACTTTCTTAGTTTTAGCACCAAAGGTCCCATGTACCAGGAAATTCTCAGTCTTGGGCAGATGGGGATGGCCAGTCACCCTGTGTTCCCTTTTAATATGATCAATCACAGTGTTCTGCTCAAGTTTAGTTTCAGATAAATAAGTTGAAACAGGAAGAGCCTTTATAAAACTATAAAAACATCACAACAAAGGAGTTATAAAGCTGATCTTGGTATAGTAATGTTGACGGGTCAAATGTGGCAATTTTGAGAATGGGTAAGGAAAGGGGTTAATGTGATTTTCAACTGATTTACCACAAGAATTTTCAAAACATGCAATATCTGAGTATTTGGTCAGGGGCACTGACCTCTGTTCCCGTAGACTGTCAATTTTAAAAAAAAATGACAACAGCCAACAACAATAGCCGTCTGGTATGAATAAATCAAAATCATACCTATTTTTTTGGTCAGATTGGTAAAAAATATATTTTTTTGGTGTGCCAGAGAATTTCAGTAATTATATGCCGTAAGATGAAAGTGGTTGGAAATCACTGGATTAATGCATTCATGGCTAATAGGAATCTTTACAAGCACAGGGAGTAGATCCTGTTAAAACTAAATTGTGCTAGTTTTATAGTTTTTACATGTGCAGGAAACAAACTTCACCTTTTTTCAAGTTTTATTTTTTTTATAATAGAAATACATGTGTTTTTGTTTCTAAATCCAAAGTATAGCTACTATAAATAAAAATACAAGTGAAAACTAAAGATGTTATTCATGGGACTCCCCAGTGGTATTTTCCATAAATAGCTTCTATTAATATTTCTTATGAGTCTTTTCAAACATCTTTGCACATCCAGAGTCGTAGTCACGTGCCTGCATTACGTATTAGTGAACGCAGCTCATCCTCCTTTCTGTTTTTAAGTGAGTATATAGAGTATCCATCGTATGGAAAAGCCCTTTCTGCATCAGTCTTTTCCTGATCAGCATTTTACTTGTTCCCAGGCTTTTGCTATTACAGTGTTCAAGTGATCACTTTTTATGTACTTTTGAATACTTACAGAATGATGTATGTAGGATACATTTATCTAAATATCGATTTTATACTGATTTTTAATCACTTTTTTATTACTGATCAGTTTTGTTTCTCCTGTAGCTTTGCTTTATAGTGCATTTGGTGTCATCATTGAGAAGACACGAGGTGCAGAAGATGACCTCAATACAATAGCAGCTGGAACTATGACGGGCATGTTGTATAAATGTACAGGTAGGAAATTTTGAATAGAGAACTGTCTCTTAATACACTTGAAGTATGTTTTTTATTCATAGTTTTCAAAGGAAACTTTATATATATATATATATATATTCTCCCCCCCCCCAGTATAATCTAGTGTTCTAAGAAACCTGGTGATTGTTTTGTGTGTTTTTTGTTTTTAGTTTTGGTAAAATACATATAAAATTAACCATCTGAACCATATTATAAATCTACAATTCAGTAATGTTAAGTATATTTACATTGTTGTGCAACCAATCTCCAGAACTTTTCTTCATTTTGCAAAACTGAAACTCTAGTCATTAAACAACCCCATTTCTCCCTTCAGCCCCTGAAAACTACCTTTTTTCTTTCTATCTATGAAATTGACTACTTTAGCTACCTCATGTAAGTGGAATCATACAGTATTTGTCATTTTGTGACTGGCTTATTTCATTTACTTTAATATCCTCAAGGTTCATCCATGTTGTAGTATGTGTCACAATTATTTTCCATTCTAAGGCTGACTGGTACTCCATTGTACATATAGATCACATTTTATTTATCCATTCATCTCTCAGTGGACACTTGGTTGCTTCCAACTTTGGCTACCTTGAATAATACTGTTATGAATGAACATCGGATAAACTAAATACCATTCAACTTTGAAAAGATAAAGTCCTAAGAGTTGAACCAAAATGGTATGGGTGAAGATCAAATGTCAAATTCTCCTCTAAAATGGAAAAATGATTAACATTCACTCAATTATGATTATAGTCTCAGTAATGAACACGTAATAATTTGTTTCATTCAAAACTCTGTGAAGTGGTAATCACACCCCAGCTTTATAATGAGCATATTGAAAGGACCATTTTCAATATGTCCTGTATAAGCAGTGACAGCCCCAAGTTTTTCATCATCTCATTTTTAAATGGTTTAATTAAACTGCATAAGTTCTATACTCCTGCCCCTGAAAAGCACTGTTACTTGTTGATTGCTTTATTATGTATTAGACACTTGATTAACTCAGTAATTCTGTTTATTAGGAATTCCTCCATCACATATATTAGGTAGTATTTTTGCTCATTTTTTCCTAGAAAGAAATGAGAGAAGTCTCACATGATTATAAAGTCTCAAGTTTTCCTAACATATCTTAGAGTAAGAGGCTTTTCTATATTGAAAAGTAGATTAGATTTGGAATTTTATTTCTAAGAGCCCACAAAACTTCTTGCAGTACATATGGTGTGTTTACACACAGAGTTTCCAGGTAGAATATGCCCATGAAATGTTGCCTTGGCATAGAAAAATCTTATTAAAAACCTAATAATGGTATGAAATTAGAAATCAGCTACAATAAAAACACTAAAAAACCGTCAAACACGGAGGCTAAATAGCATGTTATTAATGAACGAGTTACCAAAGAGATCAAGAAAGAAATCAGAAACTTCCGGGAAACAAATGAAAATGAACACACAACTCCAAATCTATGGGACACAATGAAAGCAGTCCTGAGAGGGAAGTTCATAGCACTACAGACCTACCTCAGAAAACAAGAGAAACTTCTGGGCTCTCTAACCCTACAGCTTAAAAACTTAGAACAACAAGAAAAGTCCAGAGAGTAGAAGGAAGGAAATAATACAGATCAGAGCAGAAATAAATGACATAGGGACTAAAAAAAACAAACAAAAGATCAGTGAAACCAAGAGCTGGTTCTTTGAAAAGATAAACAAATTGATGAACCTTTAGCCAGACTCATCAAGAAACAAAGAGAAAGGGCCCAAATAAAATCAGAAACGAAAGAGGTGAAATAACTTACCCAACAGAAATACAAAGGATTGTAAGAAAATACTATGAACAACTATATGCCACGAAGCTGGACAACCTGGATGAAATGGATACATTCCTAGAAAAATACAACCTTCCAAAACTCAATTAAGAAGAATTAGAAAGCCTGAATAGGCTGATAACTGCTGATGAAGTTGAAGCAGTAATCAAAGGGCTCCATCAATAAATCAACGAATGACAAGTGCTGGTGAGGGTGTGGAGAAAAGGGAACCCTCATCCACTGCTGGTGGGAATGCAGACTGGTGCAGCCACTGTGGAAAGCAGTATGGAGGTTCCTTAAAAAATGAAAAATTGAACTGCCATTTGACCAATGATCCCACTTCTAGGAATAAATCCTAAGAAAACCGAAACACCAATCACAAAGAACTTATGCACCCCTCTGTTCATAGCAGCACAATTTACAATAGCTAAGATCTGGAAACAGCCCAAGTGCCCATCAGTAGATGAGTGGATAAAAAAGATGTGGGATATTCACACACATGGAGTACTACGCAGCTGTAAAAAGAAGGATCTCTTATCCTTTGGGACAGCATGGATGGACCTGCAGAGTATTATGCTAAGTGAAATAAGCCAGTCAGAGAAAGACAAGCACCACATGATCTCACTTACATGTTTAATAAACAAAATAAACTGATCAACAAAGTGGATCCAGAGACGTAGAAGTATGGAACAGACTGAGGGATCTCAGAGGGAAGGTGGGGGAGTGGGTGGGGAGAGATTAATCAAAGAACCTATATGTTTTGTTTATAAGCATAACCCATGGACACAGACATTGGTATGGGGAAGGCCTGGGGGTGGGGTGGAGGGGATTAAAAAGTAAAAAATAAACATGGGAGGGATTTAACAGGTAGGATATTCGTAACAACTAAAATTATTTTAAAATTAAAATTGACTTGTTCTACTTACAAGGAAGCCTTTCTGTTATTGCTATAGAAAATACATTAGGTTGGTTGGTTAAAAAAAAAAAAAAACTAAAAATACTTTCACATTGAAAATCTGTAGGGTCAGACGAAAGAATTTTAAATTTTATTTGGCAGCACGAAGGTGGCACTCAGCCAGCAAGGGTTTTAATTTCTTTTTTTTTTTAATCCTCACACAAGGATATTTTTTTCCATTGCTTTTCAGAGAGCGTGGAAGGGAGAGAGAAAAAAACATCAATTGGTTCCCCTCCCACACGTCCCAACCAGTGCCAGGGATCTAGCTTGCAACTGAGGTACATGCCAGGGATCTAGCTTGCAACTGAGGTACAAACCCTGGACTCTTTAGTCTGTGGGCCAAGGTTCTAACCACGGAGCCAAACCAGCTAGGGCAGCCAGCAAGGGTTTTTAAATCACAGATTATACCATTAAAAAAAATATATATATATATATATGGAAATTTCACAAAAATCTGGGATTCCAGCTACTTTTGAATAAATGGAAAACACCAAGCTCACACTGTATGGTAGCAAATGGCTGGAACAGAGTGAGGAGCTGCTTCTACCCCAGTGGGTGGGCATTGAAACTCCAGCTAAGTTCCCACCATTCCGTTTTCCTACTTAGAGTAAGCCATTATGGCATTTCCTGTGTTAGGGGCAGTTCAGAATATAAGAATGCAAATTATCTAATTTAAGGCATGCATATTTAAGAAATAAAAAGGGAAAGGCTGAATACTTTATATTATCAAAAGAAATGAGAGCCTTGTTTTCTGTGTCAAGGACTTCCTTGCAGTAAGTAATAGCTTGGGACAGCTTCAACTGTTTCAAATTATAGAATAGAAAGCCCTTGGCTCAGAAGAGAAAAAGCAAAAAAGATTATCCATTGCCCAGCTCTGGCGTAGCTCAGCTGTTGAGCATCGACCTAGGATCCAGGAGATCATGGTTCGATTTCCGGTCAGGGCACATGCATGGGTTTCGGGCTCGATCCCCAGTAGGGAGCTTGTAAGAGGCAGCCAATCAATGACTGTCATCATTGATGTTTGTCTCTCTTTCTCTCTCACTTCCTCTCTCTGAAATCAGTAAAGACATATTCTTTTTAAAAGGTATCTATACCAAAAAAATCATTATCCATTAATTCTATCAGGTGATGTGTTGGCTGTAGTTCCCTTTCATTTGTGGAGCATAGAGAAAATAAATGATCCGCTGAACCAGAATTCCAGCATTACTGTCCAGTTCCTGGCTCAGCACATCACACCACTCTAACAAAGGCAGATCAGTGTCTCTTACTGATTTTGTGTGGCAGGCATACACAGGTAACGTCTACTTTCAGATTTGGAAAAGAGTTTGGGCACTCTTAGTATAGAGCCAGCATAAACTGTTAGGGGAAGAATTTTACATTTAGGGAATGGCTAATTCCTGCTTACCTAAAATATTTCCAATCCCCAGTATACTCTTCAAAAGTAGAAATTCTTGCCCGACTGGGCATAGCTCAGTGGTTGAAGCATCGACCTAGGATCCAGGCGATCAGGGTTCGATTCCCGGTCAGGGCACATGCCTGGGCTGCTGGCTCGATCAATGACTCTCTCATCATTGATGTTTCTATCTCTCTCTCTCCCTCTCCTTTCCTCTCTCTGAAATCAATAAAGATATATTTAAAAACACAATTCTCAAAGTCATTAATTCAGCCATCCTTTAAAAAAAAAAAAAGTAGAAATTCTTTTTAAAAAAGGAGTTTAGAATGAAAGCAGTATGATTCAATGTAGCCACTTTAGTACAAAAGTAGTAGTGCTTTTGCAGCTTCTTAGTAGAAAGAAAAATTATGAGGAAAAATACTGTATGAGAAAATGTGTTATCAGACCAGAAAGAGGCTAATTTTTTTCAATCCTCACCCAAGGATATGTTTATTGATTTTAGAGAGAAAGGAAAGGAGAAAGAAACATCTGTTGGTTGCCTCCCATACCTGTCCCTACTGGAGTTCCAACCCGCAGCCTTTTGGGGTATGGGATGAAGCTCTAACTAACTGAGCCACCCGGCAGGGGTGAGACGCTAATTTTTAAAGGAATAATTCTGATGATATGATTTTATTTTACTTTTTGTTAATCCTCACCCAAGGATATTTTTTTCCATTGATTTTTTAGAGCAGAAGGGGGGGGGAGACATTGATTGGTTGCCTCCCCCACATGCCCTGACCAGGGCCAGGGATCAAACCTGCAACCCCTTGGAGCACAGGCCACACTCTAACCACTGAGCAACACCAGCCAGGGCAATTTTATTTTTTCCATCACTATCCCCTCTATGGTGTCTTCCACCCCCCACCCCCAAGCTGTCTGCCTGCTGTGTATGAGTGTATTTTGCTTGGTAGTTCAGTTTGTTCAGGCCTAATGTTTACTTAATGAATTATGTAAATATTTTTCAGAGGGCATGAAATGTCATTATTAGATTTCCTATGGCACATGAAAGTGTTTAATGACCAGTGTTCTACCAGAACAAGAACAGCTATAGTTTTGCTACCATCCATAAGTCTAGGAATGTTTAAGAGGCCTGGTTACTTATTTTCAGGAAGCAAGGCCTCAGAAACCAAGAGAGGGTCCCCCCTTTCCACTCACAAAAAATCCCTGATCTGTTAATTCTGTTCTTCCCATAAGAAAGTCCTCTTAAAAAAACAAGCTAGCCCTGCTGGGCGTGGCTCAGCGGTTGAGCGTCGACCTAGGATCCAGGCTATCGGGGTTCAATTCCTGGTCAGGGCATATGCTCGGGTTGCAGGCTAGGCAGCCGATCAGTGACTCTGTCATCATTGATGTTTCTATCTCTCCTTATCTTTTCCTCTCTTTAAAATCAATAAAGATATATTTAAAAAAAAAAAAGGCAAGCTAAGTAAAAGTAAAAAGATACACAAATCCAGTTTATCAAATTAAGTGATTATCGTCAGTGTTGCTGTTAAAAGGTGGTATTTATCCATGAATGCCAGGAGTTCGAAATTAAATTCTTCATGTCAAAAGGAGCCTCTTGATGACTTCTTTATTTCTATTACTGGCATCAACATTGTTCCAGTAAATAAAAATGCATGTAACATATAAAATAGGCAAAGGGCTAACTGCCATAATATATAAGACATTTCAACAAATCACTACATCAACAACCCAATAAAAAATGGAGTGAGGATATGACAGACACGTCAGGGGAAAAAACAAATGACTGCTAAACAATAGAAGTTATTCAGTCTTATAAGCAGCCAGGAAAAGCAAAATAAAACATTAAGATAGTATTTTGCACCAACTGGCTTAAATAAGGTGATGGTAGATGACATTTAACATTGGCAAAAGATAAGCAAGTGCTTTGAAGGGCAGTTTCAAATTATTACTATTTGAAATATGTGGATCCTCTGCTCAAGTAATCTAACATTCAGCAGTTTATTCTGCAGCAAACTAAGGCTTACATGCAAAACTGTGTACCACGGCTTTTGAGATTTACTTCAAGACAAGGTGCTGTTCGAACAAAGACTGGCATAGAGGGAGCATGGGAGGTGGGTCTCTGGAGGTAGTGACTTAGGTAAAGGTAACAGCACGCTCGAAGGCCCTGAGGCGTGGGTTCAGAGGCATTGGGAAGAGGAGTTAAATTGAGTCATAAAGGCGCCACGGGACCAAGTCATGGAGAAGATAGAGCTTCATGGGCCACAGTAAAGAATTGGGCTTAACTGGACATCAGTTAATCTTACCTTCTAAGTACGAGCATTTCTTTTTACTTATAAACCTTAAATGGTGTATTTGTAACTTCCAGAGTTAAACTTTCACCCTTCTCCTGAGTACAAAGTTTATACCAGGAGATGTTCACTCAGGGTTGACAAACCTTCTAAAACTTCCATAAGATTCTCAAAAGGTCTGGGCATTCCCTACCACCCACAGAAAATCCACCACCAAAAAGGCTAAGGATCACCCCAGCTGGTTCAGCTCAGTGGTTAGTGTCGGCCTGCAGACTAAAGGTCTTGGGTTCAATTCTGGTCAAGGGCATGTATCTCCATTGCAGGCTTGATCCCTGGCCCTAGTCGGGGCTCATGTGGGAATCAGTCAATAGATGTGTTTCTCTCTCTCACATCGATGTTTCTATCCCCCCCCCCTTCCCTCTC